ACCTAGGTGAGCTGGCTGAGTATGCCTGAATGGATGGCCTCTACCGTGCTGAAACTAACCTCTCGAAGGAGTACCACTGTAACTACCATATCTTCGAGGCCTTTTGGCCTCCCTCTCCTCTCACTCCTAGCGACGAACCGACTCAATCTCATGGACGATATCCACAACCTCCTCGAAAGTAGCACCGATCACCCTCTCCCTGGTTATAAAAATATGAAGCTAATAAGTAAGGCCATCAACAAACCTCCTAATCATCTCTCTATCTGTCGGAACCAACCAAATAACATGATGAGCTAACTCGGATAACCTCATCTCATACTACATCACAGTCATCTCTCCCTAACGCAACTACTCAAACTCCCTACGTAGCTCCTCTCTACGAGACTACGACACATACTTCTCCAGAAAGAGAATGGAGAATTGCTGCCAGGTAAGGGGTGCTGCACCAACAGGCCTATGCCTCTCAAAAGTCTCCCGCCAAGTGAAGGCAGCTCACAAAAATTGATAAGTAGTGAAAGCGATCCCGCTGGTCTCCAGAATACTCATTGTATGAAGCATCCTCTAATACTTATCCAAGAAACTCTGAGCATCATCACCCTCTGCACCACTGAAGGTCGGAGGTTGAAGTCTACCAAACCTCTCCAACCTACGCTGCTCATCCTCTGGCATGGAAGGAACTACATAGTCCTGAGCAGCTGCAACTGGCCGGGCTGGATGTGCCCCCAGCGTCTGAAGTCCCTGCACGACCTGCTCAGGTGTGCGAGCGGCGGGAGTCTAATTGCCTCCCCCAGTTTGAGAAGTAGCTGCGGCTGTAGTGATTGAAACCGCTTGAGCTAGGCCAGTGCAAACTGATAGAATTTGAGCCAAGGCCTCCTGAAGACCCGAAATCACAATGGGCACAGCTGGTGGCTGAGCTGGTGCCGCTGGAGCATCCATAACTGGGACCAGATCCAGAACTAGGGCAGTTGGTGGATCTGCAGGTGCTACCCTAGCTGCTGTGCAGACCACACCTCTGCCCCTACTGCGACCACAACCGCGTCCTCGGCCTCTAGTGGCCATAGTTGGTGGTACTGGTAGTCATCTATCCTGGCCGGTAGCACATGTCCTCACATTCTGTGAGAGTATAGAATAGCATAAGTTTAGTATTCGGATCAACAAAGTCGCATGACAAGAATTTCAAGAATATGAAGTTTTCCTAAAGGTTCTGCAGCCTCTCGAGGATAAATACAAACTTCTCCATACCGATTCGTGAGACTCTACTAAACCTTCTCATGACTCGTGAGACCTACGTAACCTAGGCTCTGATACCAACTTGTTATGACCTAAACCTAGACCCAGTCGTGATGGCGCCTCTCGTGAAAACAAGGTCAGCTGACATTTACCCATTTCAGTTTTAAGTAGTTAACAATGAGAATTAAGTCTAAAACATTATAAATGACCCAACATTTAAGCAGTCAACAATACAATATGCGGAAGAACAACCCAACACAGCCCGATACTGAGGTGTTACTAGTCATACGCATCTAAAAATCCGGAATAAGACAAGAAAGTCTATAGAGTTCAATACAAATCCAAAACAAAGAGAAGTAAGACAAGGGAAGAAGCTCTAGGCTACGAATGCCGGCAGCTACCTAGAGAATATTCGGATCCGCCTGAGCTGGAAAGATCAACACTCGGGAGCGGGATCAGATACGTCTGAATCTGCACACAGGGTGCAAGGTGTAAAGTGGGTACTCCAACTCAGTGAGTAATAATCATAAATAAAGACTAAAAGCATGAAATCACGTAAGGCACATTATGGGCTATAATGAAGCAGTAAAACATGTAAGAACAGTAGTTCAGTAAAGATATGTAAAATCGTACAAGTTCAGTTTAAACTTCAAGAAATACCTATTCAACAATTAAACAAGTAAATGACAGGCAACTAAGACAGATAAGCACATAAAGGATTGCCCCTCGGGCACAATGTCAACAATACCAGCCCCTCGGGCTATATCTCACATCACAATGGGTACCCGCGCTCACTAGGGGTGTGCAGACTCCTAGAGGGGCCCAATACGGCCCAAGTGCAATATCAAACCATCTCGGGGCATCGTTACTTGGCTCTCAGACTCATATCAACAAGCCACCTCATAGCGTACATATCTCAGGCCCTCGGCCTCATAATCATGATTAGTGTTTCCTCACAACATAGGCCCTCGGCCTTACTCAGTCAAAAATCCTCACAAGTCACTCGGCAGTAGTAAAACATGATTCTCAGCCCAATTATCATTTAAAAGATCATTTAGGTGTTAAAAACATAGTAAACATGGCTGAGTATGAAAATAGTGAAATATAACATGACTGAGTTCAAGTATAAAGTCAAAACAGTGAGGAAATATCAATAAAAATTCACGAAGGGTTCAAATAGATGGCACGAGGCCCAAATATGGCATTCAACCCAAATAATGATGATAGCAAATAGATTTCAGTCAAATACGCGGTAAAATAGTCATTCGGGATGGACTAAATCACAATCCCCAACAATGCACGATCCCACGCTCGTCTTTAAGCATGTGTATCCCCTCAATGTAGCACAACGATGTGCAATCCGGGGTTTCATACCCTCAGAACATCATTTACAATCATTACTCACGTCAATCCGGTTAAATCTCTAGCCTGCGATGCCTTTGACCCTTGAATCGGCCTCCAGTCACATCGAATCTATCCAAAATCAGAATCACGACATCAAAATATGCTAAGGGAACGAAGCCCAAGCAAAAATAATCAATATACGACACAAATCCCAAAATTACCAAAACCCGACCCCAGGACCACGTCTCGAAATTCGATAAAATTCACATCAATGGATTCCTTATCTTCCCACGAGTTCATACATATCAAAAGTACCAAAATCCGAGCACAATAGGTCCCTCAAATCCTCAAGTCTAGGTCTCTAATACCAAGCCCTAGTTTCCCCAATTTTAACCCTTAATTTCCATTAATTATAGCTCTAATAAGTGAAATAATACCATAGGAACGAGTTTTAGGTCCAAAATACTTACATCAATAAAGTTTCCTTGAAATCCCTCTTCAAAATCGTCCAAAAAGCTCCAAAGCTGACTTAAAAATGGTGAAATTGCTCAAAAAACGCGAAAGACACAATTTATACCTTCTGGCCCAGATATTTTCACATCTGCAGCCATATACCCGCTTCTGCAGTACCACATTTGCAGCTAAAGAACAGCTTCTGCGGTTTTCACTTATTCCGCCACGATCAGCATCTGCGATGCACCAGCCACACCTGCGCCATCGCAGGTGCGGTCTACTAACCGCTTCTGCAGTTTCCTGCCTCCCTAGCTCTATTCCTCTTCTGTGGCTCCCTTTCACGCATCTGCAAGATCGCACCTGCGGTCCCAAATCCGTAGGTGCGAAAATACCAAAAGCAGAAAAATCTGCAGCTTCAACAAAATCTCAAACTCTCCGTCAACCATCCGAAATCACCCCAAGGCCCCCGGGACCTCAACTAAAAACACCAACATATTTCAAAACCTTATTCAAACTTGTACCAATCTTTTAAACACCTCAAACAACATTGAATCAACCAAAACATATTAGATTCAAGCCTAAGTTTTCAAAATCTTCCGAATTATGCTTTTGATCAAATATCCAACTAAACCACGTCCGAATGACCTGAAATTTTGCACATATATCCCAAATGATACAACGAAACTACTGCAACTCTCGGAATTTCATTCCGACCATTATATCAAAATCTCACCTATCAACCGGAAACCGCCAAAATACCAACTTCTCCAATTCAAGCCTAAATCTACTCCGAACCTCCAAAATTCATTCCGATCACGCTCCTAAGTCCCAAATCATCTTCCAAAGCTAACCGAATCATCAGAACTCACATCCGAGCCCTCTAACACATAAGTCAACATCTAGTTGACTTTTCCAACGTAAGATTCTTCAAAAGAGACTAAATGTCTCAAACCTTACCAAATCCTTTCCGAACCCGAGCCAACCAACTCGATCACATATAGAACCGATAGACAAAGCAATAAAAAGTAGAAATGGGAGAAACAGAGCGGCAACTCATGAGACGACTGGCTGGGTCATCACAGAAACTCACCCCAATGGATTGTTCTTTACAAGAACAATCATTTGGGGTCAATTTTGAGCTATATCGAAGCCCAAGTAGAGATCCGCCTCAGATCTTGCCCTGTTTCTCAATAGGTACAGTATTGTCCTCGCTTGTTCATTTTAGTATTTTGATTCATGTTTAGGAAAACTAAAAGAAAAAGCCCACAGTGGTGTTTGTTTATCGATTTATTAGACTATTGTCTCATTTAGTTTTTTTTTTATTTTCGTTTTTTGTTTAATTCCGCTTTTTTGTTTGTTGTTGTTTTTGTTAGCCAATAATTTAGTCAGTAGTATTAATCAGTTCACTCCAAGTTCATAACTATTTTGGGCATATCTGTGTGGTATTTCCCGTTCCTTCTTTCGTTGTTCTTCCTTTTCTTTTCTTCATATTTGTTTTCTTATTTTAGTTTGCATGCTTGGGATTTTCAGTATTCTATTATTATGTGTTTGATCGTCTCGCCTATGTTAATATAAATCAGCATGGTTATTTCTGAGTTCGGCCGTCTCTTTGATTTGATTTAGGATAATTGTTGGTTCTGTTGATGTTTGCTATGATCTGTAAATTATTAGATACTTTTGGGGGGTTAATTGAATAATAGAAAAACTTAAAGGGGTCATTTGAGGGGTGGGCAAATGGAAAAATGAGATAAGTCCATGTAGAGGGTTCTAGAACATGGGCAGCTGGCCCTATTTGGTCAGTACAAAATACTGAAGCCAATTAGGGACATCCGACTGTCCAATTCTGTTAAAAAAGATGCTCTTTGAGGGCTGCTTTCAAATGGAATAATTCCTGACTTGGAGAGCACGCAACAACCCTCTTTGAGTATAAATAGAACCTTTTCTTCACTCATTAGGGAGATATTTTTCAGAACCCTAAAAACACTCCAAAAGGTTCAACTACTGTTTCATTAGTAGCTGATTCTCTTTTCTTCTGATTTTAAAAAAAACTTAGAAAACTTCTTTGGGATTTCTGATTTTCTAATTCCAGTATGGATTATGTTTGAGGCTGTGTGTTGTTTTCTTGTTGCTGATCTCTACTGACTTCTTGCTGAGCTTCTTTACCTTGTCTTTGTTCTTGACATCCAGGTATCTCTATGAACTTTTGAGTGGCAAAATGAAGCTCTAAAGCATGTGTTTAGTCTTTAATGTAACAAGAAGATGGGTATTCGAATGTTAAATTTCAGTTTTTATTATGTATGGTGTTTGCAAGTTATTTTGTTTAGTATTTCTGTTTTAGTTTTGTTTAAGCATTCTGAATCCGGTGTTCTAGTCTATAACTTAGTTATTTGTATGAATGTTCAAATTAGTCTAGCTGTTCCATGTACTGTTTGACAGTTTTAAAATGTTTAGTCGCCATAGTAGTTCATTTGGTCTTTACTAGAAGATGCTGGATCTGTACTGTACATGTCAAAAAGGGACAGTGTTTGATTGCTAAGCACCATCAGCTAAATTATCTCGAATTTCAATAGTGTTAAAGTGATTGCATATTTAAGTTTAAGGTGATTCATGAATAAGTAAGGTTTAATCTCTTATTGTTAGTACTAATAGCATGTTAATAATTTAAACTTACAATATGGTTGGTTAGCCTATGATTTTTCCAGAATTTTTATAATATTTTGTGTTACATGTGATTTAGAGGAAATTGAGCCTTAATGTCGAAGGCCCTTCTGCTGGAAGTAGTTGGGCCTGGCATTGGCCCAGATGAAGCAGCTTGGTCGAATTGGTGTGCGTCTGTTTTTTGCTTACTTCCTCTTTTAGGCTCAATTTCGAGCCCAGTCCACACCGGCCATATTTTCTTGGCAATCTTCTTTTAGATAATGTAATGGGCCTACTTTTGGCCCAGTTCTTCTCAAACAATTAAAGACTTAGTTTATCTTCCAATGCACACTTACAATTAGTAGCTTTATATTTAATTTCAACTTAGATTAAACATGAACCTTCGTAGTTTGCTTTAGGCGCGCTATAATAAATTATCATAGCTATGGTACGGTTCCCGTGACGTAGTTGTGATATATAATTTCCAAATCCAGGGTTACATTTATGTGTCCCGGAATCTAATAATGTTAATAAATTAAACGTATTGTAGGTTGTGGGTACGGTTCCCATGACACGATTCGCAATGTGTACTAAACAAACAAGTGTACGACAATCGTAACTTGTTCCAGAATAATTCCATAAATAATTAAAAGCGGTCAAAGGTGAAAAAATGCACAATAGGTTTAAAATATGCAGTTAATCATATAATTAGGCCAATAATAATAGTTGAGCGACCGTGCTAAAACCACGGAACCCGGGAATGCCTAACACCTTCTCCCGGGTTAACATAATTCCTTACCTGGATTTCTGTGTTTCGCGGACTGTAAAACAGAGTCAAACTTCCTCGATTTAGGATTTTAAACCGGTGACTTGGGACACCATAAATTATCCGAAGTGGCGACTCTGAATTTAAATATAAATAATACCGTTTCGGTTATTGTCACTTTAATTGAAAAAACTCCTTTCGGGTAGAAAAAGGAAGTGTGACACTAGGCATTCTTTATCGAATTTAACTTGTATATATTGTTACTATTGTCAGACCTCTCTATAACAACATTCTTATATAACAACACTTCACTATAAAAGCCAAGTTTCTCCGGAACCAAATTTCATGTTCTGTTATAATATATGTTTTCTATAGCAGTAATTCGCTATAACATCTAAAAATATTTGGAACAAACGAGATTGTTATAGAGACGTTTGACTGTATCACTGTATATTAACCGGTTATAATATGTTAACATGTTATTTGTTACATTTATTGTGTTAATAAAATAAATTTACTGTGAACTATTACATGTCATTTAGGTCACATTTACCTATATTATTGTGTCAAAAAATTATAATTTATCCATGTATAGAACTTAAATTCTTCTTTATGTTATAGTGGTGTACTATGTTGTGATATGTAGTGTTGTCATGGTTTTGCATCTTGCAGATTTGGTGTTCAAGGGAAGTCTTTTCACTCATGATTTTATAGTTAAACAACCTCACAGTTCCTCACCTTATTACCCAAATTAACACGGTCAATGGCTTGATTAAACATATATATATCTCACCTCAATATGTAAGTTGATTTGGACTGTTGGGGAAAGAAATAAACATGCAGACAAGCCAATGCCTTGCTAATAAAAAAAACTTTGAGCCATTAGGGCAATAAGCTTTTGGCACTTTAATTTACCCCCTCTATCAGTCTATTACAGTTTCTTTGAGTTATTATCTATGTATATATAGCATATCAGTCTATCACGATTTCTTTGAGTTATTATCTATGTATATGTAGCAAAATCATGAATTTATTGGTTTTCAGCCCTATATTCACGGAGCAAGCATGCGAGGCTCATGTACTCTTCAACAAGGGCAGGCTTAGAATACTAGAACAGATAGACCACTCCAGCTACAATATGTGTATGGATGTAACTTAATTTTGTATATACTTTATAGTTTACACCATCAGTTTATTTTTACCTTGTCATAATAAGTTATTTACTTTATATTTCAAGTTATTCAGACTTTAATGAATAGTTATTCTGTTGTTGCAAGTTAAACTCCATAGGTGTATGCACAAGAAAATTGAAGACAAAATAACGTCTAAAATAACATACATCAGTGGCCCAACTAACCGGAATGGTATTTAAAATATCACTACTAGAATTCCGGAAAAAAGCGACCAAACTTTAGCGACCAAAGTTGGTCTGTCAAGAANATATAAATATAAATAAATATAACTTAAATTAGCGACCAAAGTTGGTCGTTAATTAAGGGGTAAGCAGNTATAGTATAGTATAGTGTAGTATAGTATAGTATAGTATATATACTAAGTGTCACGACCCTGATTTTCCCACCATCGGGAGTCGTGATGGCGCCTACTAACGGAGCTAGGCCAGCCAAACTTTAAACATTCTCTGATAACTTCTCAACAATAACCATATATGAAAGCAATTAAATAAAAACAAACAGAATGCTTTAAGTTTATAAAATTGAAATTCAAATGCGGAAGTTTAAGACAAATCTCTACCCAAAATCTGGTGTCACTAACTCACGGACTGCTAAAGAGTGCTACAAACAAGTCTGAATGGAAATACAAAATATCTGTCTCGGTACAATGAAGATAAACTAAACATGGAGAAGGACTTCGGCCTGCGAACGCCGACTAGGCTACCTTGAAGTCTCTGGACTGAAGTCAGCTCCCGATCAATACGCTACTGCTGCGGTCCTAAAGCTGCTCCGATACCGTAATCCGTGCAAAAAGCACAGAAGTGCAACATCAGCACAACCGACCCCATTGCTGGTAAGTGCCTGGCCTAACCCCGAAGAGGTAGTGACGAGGCTAGGACTAGACTCCAGATAAACCTGAGCAGATATATAATATGTTGCGGAAAATAAACAGGAATAAGCAGTTTAAAATGGGAGGGGTACATGCTTCGGGGAAACATATCAAGACCAACAAAGAAACTTATTAAAATATGAAAGGACAACTCAATACCTACAACGATACAATAACAATACTGTTGCGGCGCGCAACCTGATCCCTTATCATTTAACATTGTTGCGGCGTGCAACCCGATCCACATATATATATATAGCTGTTGCGGCACGCAACCCAATCTAATATAATATCTGTTGCGGCGTGCAACCCGATCCAATTCATTCTCTTGTGGTAGGCATACCACCCGCTCCCATTTCATCATATTTTGTGGTAGGCGTACCACCCGCTCCTATTTCATTATCTTGTGGTAGGCGTACCACCCGCCCCCATTTTAGTTCATCAATATCGTCGATGAAAACAATCACGAACAAATCCAAATAGGGAACATAAGGAATATACTAACTTCCCGGCAAGGGAGAAACATCTATAACCAAACTTGTTACCACATCTAACTACTTCAGCTATAAATAAACTTATTACAACACCTAACACAAAGAATCATCAACCTAAGCATCCGTAATATCAAATAAGAACACAATGCAAGGGAACCACAACTCAACAATAGCCCGGCAAGGGTGCAACGTGATAATCTCTTCCCTTTCTCACTTTTACTTCATGACTCCCTTCACCACTCGAGCCAATACTCTAGAGTTTCAATTATCACTTATACTTTCACAATTCGTTACACAACTGGAGTCAAAGCTCCTCAATGTTCATAGGTCACAATTCTTTCCACAACTTTACACAACAATAATAGAAATCTTCATCAAGGCATGAATAATACAACAAAATCATGGAAATCACAATATAAGACTCACGGTCATGCTTGTCACCAACGTATAGATACTCGTCACATTGCCTATACGTCGTACTCAACAAGAAGCAAGTAGCAGATATGACTCAACTCCTGATCCCTCAAGCTAAGGTTAGACCGAACACTTACCTCGAATGCTCCAACTCAAGTCTCGATTATAGCTTTACCTCTCGAATTCACCACCCAACCGCTCGAATCTAGTCACAAATTGCTTGAATGCATTAATAATTACTATTGGAACTAACCCCAATGCATAAAAATAGTTTTTACAAGGTTTTTCCCAAAAAGGTCAAAAATACCCCCGGACCCACGTGGTCGAAACTCGAGGTTCGGACCAAAACCCGGTTACCCATTCTCCCACGAATCCAAATATATGTTTTGTTTTGAAATCGGACCCCAAATTGAGGTCCAACTTCTCAATTTATAGAAAACCTAGGTTCTACCAAAAACACCCAATTTCCCCATGAAAATCTTTGATTTGAATTTGAAATCATGTTAAAAGATGTCAAGGAATAAAGAAATTAAGTTAGAAATCGCTTACCAATCGTTTTGGAGAAGAAAAGTTGTTTGAAAAATCGCCTCTTAGGTTTTGGGTTTTGAAAAGTGGATAAAATGACTGAAAATTCCGAATTTATATATATGCTGGGGGCTGGCGCGGATCGCATAGATATGCACTGCGGCCGCGTGGTTGCCAGCGCGGACCGCGCGGAAATGCACCGCGGCCGCGCCG